TCAAGAGTTTTAATATAAACGGGCGAACTTGTAGTCTCTTTCCCCTGTCAAGCTTTAGGAAATCATCTTGCATTTTTCATCTCTTTAGTTTACTCGGTAAGTCTCCCTCTCTGCCTCCTCTTCTTGGTATCATTGACTCTTATTTTGGTGGTTGGGAACTTAAATCTGTTTTTCAAACGATTTGTGTGATGATTTTAGGGTTGAGATGGACAGTTCTGAAGCTCATCTTGATAGAATTGAGGCACAGAGGTCAACGGATGTGTCTCATGACCAACGCAAAGGAAGATACTTCCCCATGAATCTGATAAACAAAGTGGCACGCAAACTCTGTTCTCGAGGAGGAGATGGCGCCACGCCATCTGCGGGAGACACCGAATCTGGGCTGGAGTTCCTCAACAACCTCAAATTGTCGGATCTTTTCGATCTCCCTGGTGAAAATGTCCAGATGAATGCGGAAATTTTTAGCCGACTGAGTGATGGGGACAAAGAGTGTCTGGAGAAGTTGAAAAGCCATGGAACGCCAATGGCATGTCTCAAGAGCGATAAAGGAGATTCAATTCTTCATCTTGCTGCTAGATGGGGTCATCTAGAACTAGTGAAGAACATTGTCTCTGAATGTCCATGCCTTGTATTGGAACCAAACTCCAAGGATCAGCTTCCGCTTCATGTGGCTGCTCATGCCGGTCATTCGGCTATTGTTGAGGCTTTTGTTGCGTCGGTAACATTTTTTTCAGATAGACTGGCTGTAGAAGATAGGGAGAGACTGAATCCATATGTTCTCAAGGACAAATATGGAAATACTGCTCTGCACTTGGCCATTGAAGGACGCTATATGGAGATGGCTGCCTCTCTGGTGAACGAGAACCAGAATGCTTCTTTTTTTGAAAATAATGAGGGAATATCTTCCTTGTACATGGCCGTAGAAGCTGGAGATGTATCTCTTGTGAAAGAAATTTTGAAAACCACATGCAACGATGACCTTGAAGGGAGGAACTCTAACTTAGATTTAAAGTTGGAAGGGAGAAAATATCTTGTACATGTTGCTTTGGATGCCAGAAGTACAGGTTTATTTTTCGCTTTACCCACTAGTAGCTGGCATTTAGTCTGTTCAAATTTCTATGTAAAACCAGCTGCGTTATGCTAATTGCTGTTCCCAATTGTTTGAGCAGGTGTCCTTGATGTTATTCTTAACGAATATCCAAGTCTTGAGGACAAGCGAGATGAAGAAGGAAGGACTTGTCTATCCTTTGCAGCATCCATAGGGTTTTATGAAGGAGTATGCAACCTGTTAGACCGATCAACAAAGAATGTTTATGTCTGTGACGAAGATGGTTCTTTTCCCATACATACGGCTGCAGAGAACGGCCATATCAGAATTGTCAAAGAGATTCTAAAACGTTGTCCACATTCAAAACACATGCTCAACAAACTTGGCCAGAACGTTCTCCACATTGCAGCAATGATTGGGGAAGATAATCTTGTAGCATCGTTAATGTTAGAAGATGAAACGAAACATCTGTCTGTTGGGCAAGATGTGGACGGTAACACACCTTTGCACCTTGCCACCCTAAATTGGCGCTACCGATCAATCAAAAAGCTCGCTTCCAATGTAAAGATATTGCAATTACGGAATGATAATGGCTTAACAGCTAGGGGTATTGCCGAGTCAGTGCTGAAACCCAACTACATCTTTCATGAGGTATGTCTGATTCCCTATATCATACAACACATTTGATCCCACATTAGTGATTTTATAGCTTGGCCATTTTTGGATTACAGAGATTGACACTGGCATTCTTATTATACGCCTACGCGTCAAAGGGTTCTGGATCTGTAAAGTCGTTAACAAAACCATCAGAGCCACTAGACCATGAAAAGAGCAGAGATTACGTCAACACTCTTCTATTGGTAGCAGCACTTATAGCCACAATGACATTTGCTGCAGGTTTTACAATACCAGGTGGCTTTAACAGCTCTGCTCCACACTTGGGCAGGGCAACTTTGACTACTGACCCAAATCTCTTAAGTTTTCTGCTATTTGACACCTTGGCAATGCTAACCTCCGTTGCAACAATATGTACTCTTATTTGGGCGCAGTTGGGTGATCCAACACTCGTTTCCTCATCGTTAAATGTGGCCTTGCCCTTACTGCTTTTTGCTCTACTCTGCATGCCCTTGGCATTCCTTTGTGGTGTGGCTACTGCGGTTGGGCATGTGAAATGGTTTTTAGCCATCCTTTCCTTAATATCGGCGTTCTTCTTGTACTGGGCGACAAGTATCCTTTTCCCCCACGTCCTGCTACAGCTTTCAAGCGTTTATCCCGTGTTCTGTGATTATCTGGAGATGTGTCTGGATTTTCAAGAGTTCGTGTCAGGATCTCGATCGGCCCGTGTAATTCCTACACTCCGTCATTTGCTGAGGCTGAAGAGAGATTAAGATCCTTAGCTTGTGAATGGGACAAATGGTGAATGTTTAAAAAGTCAAATGGTCAGTAAATCACAAATTAATGACCATGAATGGCAAATTAATAGAGGAAAAAAACCTACTCCATCTGTAGAGTGTTGTTCTGGAGTTTTATTTTTGTTTTAAAAAAATGTCGCTTTACATTTTCAATGTGACTTTTTAAAACTAATTTCCTAATTCACCCATTTACTCAAAGCTACTCAAACTTCTGTGAAAAAGGCACAAAACCCATGACAAAAATAGTCTCATTCTATGTTCAAAAAAAAAAATAGTCTCATTCTAACTTATCTTCTTTTTTAGATCCTGACCAGTTAATACCTTTTTCACAAATCAGGCTCAGGCATTTCTAATAGACCAGTTAGATTCTATCAGGCTCTTCTGTTCCTTCATTTCAGGCTCATGATCGATATTGAAACTAAAACTTTGGTTCAAGTCTTCAAGAGGTGTGTGTGTGAACAGTAAATTCTCATCCCCATTTTCCAAATTCCTAAGAAGAAATATCATTGGTTTACTTCTCCTCTCCACTAGTTTAGTTTTTTTCCAATTTTCCAAATGCAGTAAAAAGTCAGTTACAAGTTTTTTTGGTGCTTAGTTTACGAGAAGCAGATTACGTACATCTGTATCTTATATCTGTTCTGTTTCTTATAAAATTCAGGGCATTATTGTGTTGCTTGATGGTCTATTCGGAATAGGCACATGTTCTACTGTTCTAATGTAAGTAAAGTAACTTGTTGGAAGCTACTACGTACTGTTCTATGTTTTGACATATTTACAAGAAATAACCCCAAATTTGTCAAAGTCATTAACAATTTTCTAATTGGTTCATAGCTAAAATTGAATAATTTGACGTATATGATTATGGGTTTAGGATTTATGAATTGGGAAAAGCCTGTGTAAGCCAGCGTTTTTCACATCAAATTATTTTGTTTGAATTTTTATATATTGATGATGATTTGATTATATTTTTCAGCTAACAGAACCGCGATCTTTCCTCCAGCTCCTAAAAGATGTGACTACGAAATAAAACCTCAGATTATCTCTCTTGTGAAGCAAAACATCTTCAATGGACATGCTTCTGAGAATCCGATGGACCACATGCAACAACTTGAAGATTTGTGTGGTACAACAAAAGCTAATGGTGTACCTGAAGATTACTTATACTTTTCAAGTTTACTTTGGGAGAGAAGGCTTCGAAATGGTTGAGACTTCTAGCTCTAGCCTCTAGGTTCGATTACCTCGTAGGATTAGTGCAGGGATCAGTTCATCAATCACTTCTTACTAAACTTGAAGACCGTTAGCTTGAGGAACAAAATCTCTACATTTGTTCAAGGAGGACAACTGGACAAGAGTCGTTTTGTTTTAGAAGATATCGGAAGGATTGTCCGCACCATGGTTTAAGCGAGGAGACTCTCATGCACATGCCTGCACCATGTGAAGAAGATATGGTGATTACATCTCGCACCTTCTTTTGTATCTTATATCTTTTCTGATATGTTCGTTTCTTCTTCAAAAATTTCAGGGATTGGTGTCATGGTGTGTTGCTAGTTGGAAGCTAAAGTATTTTCTTGGAAACTACTGTTCTATGTTTTTTACATATTTACACAATCTCTAATGAAGGTGTTAAATGTGTTTGTAGAAAGAATGTAGGACTTCTTGGATTAACAAAAGTTGGAAGCAGTCGTGTTGTTCAAGTATCTGCAGGCTTTATGATTTTCTTCTCTACATTGGGTATAACTAACTCATATATACTTCTAGGCTTTACCACTCTATTGTATCACCACCCGCAGTTCGAGCAGGCAATTCGGGACTGTTACCAGCAGGTGCGGCAGCATTGCACTGTGTCCTATTCGGACTTGTTGGTAAGACCATCACAAAGATACATAGACAATATCATTAATCTCATTGAAAAAGATTTCATTATATTTCTGTGATCGTCTTTTTGCAGCTGCGGTTGCTCTGATATCTTTAGTTCACAAACATGAACAGCAGGAGAAACTTAGTCAACAGATTCGTCCCTCCTACTTACTAGTCTTAACCTAATATTAATACACTTTGATTAATTTCTGATATTCTTTTTTTGGTAATGGTCTCTAATTTACGACCCTCGTTGAAGTAGATTTATACTTCAAAATTAAATTTCATCTCCTTTATATAGAATTGTAGTTTCAATAACATCATTACTTGAATCATATATATTCAATTATGAAAGTCAGTTATTAGTCTTAATCAATAGGCAATACAGTCATTAACACAAATTATTGAACAGCTTTTTCGTTTCATTGGTACTAAAAATATTTTTTTCTAAATGGTTCATAGCTCAACTTGAATAATTTGATGTACATGATTACATGTAACTCAAATTGAACATCAACACTTAAAAATGTTTTGTTTTATGAATTGGGGAAATCCTCAGTAAGTCAGCGTTTTTCACATCAAAGTAATAAACTCAGACGGTAATTCCATATTTTTAGCAAAAATCATCATCGGTAATCTCCCAAATAATCAAATCGAAACTAGTTTTTTCAAAAACAAATTTAAATTGTAATCGCCATGGCTCTGTAGATCGTAAAACAAGATCCACAGGTTCCTATCAGTAAGCGAAACACGAACATTTGTTTATGTCCAATATAGCGTCGAGCTAGGATCATAGCCACCCAAAAAAGAGAAGAGCTACCTTCGACGTGGCATCGGACAATTTCAATTAATTTAGAAGAAAAAAAAAAAAACAAACCCTCAGCGGACCCTTGTCAAATCAACCACACAGCAGACACAGAAGTCACGCTGTTGTGTTAAGTGTCATACGGCACTTCCTATCTTTTGGGATTTCTTCTTCATCGGGTTTTAAATATCAAAACTCAACATAAATCGATTTCAAGGAAACAGAGAATCAAAAAAAGGGAAAAAAAAAGAAGCTAACAAAAGTTGTTGAAGATATGAGAAATAGAGAGGAGAGAATATGTATTTATATAGAGGGTATTTGAGGCGGCATAACTTAAAGCCCTAGCGTGTACGAGGCGGCATAACTTAAAACCCTAACGTGTACGAGGCGGCATAACTTGAAACCCAAGCGTTTGATCGAGTTACCATATAGCCCATTAAGAGCCCATATGTATTTGTGTGCTGAATAAAATATTATTGGGCCAGTAGATTGTGGAAGAATGCAAACAGAGAGGCTTTAATATCGCTTAGGATTTAGGAAGAGAGCTCCAACTACGATGATTGGTACTGAAAGTCTGAAACGGCTATGTTGTGCATATAATCTTAGAGACAGGTACTGTCTTGTCATGTACTCATGTTTTATAAGTTTCTCCGCTCTGTTTTGAAGAAAAGTGTGGAATTGTGTTACAATGTTGCAGATGGAGAGGAAATTGAGTTTGACTCCGAACAAAAGTTTCATAGTTTAGTGAAGGACAAGGCTCTGTTTATATCAGAACTTGGGGCTCTTGCTGATAGTATTTCTCCAGAAGTTTTGGTTAAATAGAGGTCCAAGTAAACGTATTTTAGTCATTTGTATTTTGATGTTTGTATAAACCCACTGGATCATTATAATGTTTTGATTGATTGAAAAAGAGAGAGAAATATTCATTTTATTTACACTTGTGAACTGTGATCATCAATGAACTGAGTCAATCCCTCAAAGTTTCAATACTTCCCACAACAGAAATTCTACAGAAGATAACAATATTAACCAAGATGGAAGAAACTTCATCTCCTTCATTAACCAAGATGCCTATCGATAGTCTCAGCATCTTGCAGTCTCCTCTCAGACATCTCATTGTATTGTCCCCTGTTTTTGCTGGGACATGTCTTTAAAAGTGCTTAAAACATTTGTTCTAAATCTCACTGCACTTTACAGGCACACCTATAAGGTGAATGTTATCACACACCGTCAAAGAAGTTAAACCATCATATGTTTGACAAGTACTGCAGAGCTGAACATTAGATAGACTCTTTACTTCTCATACTCATCAAACTAAAAAGTAAGTTCGATTTGTCATTTGAAAGAAAGGAGAGATAAAAGGAACCGAAACATTGATCAATTATTTATTAGGGGAATTACAAGGCCCCAAAACACAAACCACCGAAGTTTTAGAAGAAACGAGACATGAACATGTAAGCATAACAGAGACAGACAAGGTTTAGAAACCACCACGGAGACGGAGGACCAAGTGGAGAGTAGACTCCTTCTGGATGTTGTAGTCGGCCAAAGTACGACCATCCTCAAGCTGCTTTCCAGCGAAGATGAGACGCTGCTGGTCTGGAGGGATACCTTCCTTGTCCTGGATCTTGGCCTTGACGTTGTCAATGGTGTCAGAGCTCTCCACTTCAAGTGTGATAGTCTTTCCGGTGAGAGTCTTCACAAAGATCTGCATACCTCCACGGAGACGCAAGACCAAGTGAAGAGTGGACTCCTTCTGAATGTTGTAATCAGCCAAAGTTCTTCCGTCTTCAAGTTGCTTTCCGGCGAAGATCAATCTCTGCTGGTCCGGTGGGATACCCTCTTTGTCTTGGATCTTGGCTTTGACATTGTCGATGGTGTCAGAGCTCTCCACTTCCAAAGTAATGGTCTTTCCAGTCAGAGTCTTGACGAAGATTTGCATACCACCACGTAGCCTGAGAACAAGATGAAGGGTCGACTCCTTCTGGATGTTGTAGTCAGCAAGAGTTCTACCATCCTCCAACTGCTTTCCGGCGAAGATCAACCTCTGCTGATCCGGAGGAATACCCTCCTTGTCTTGGATCTTGGCCTTCACGTTGTCGATAGTATCAGAACTCTCCACCTCAAGAGTAATCGTCTTTCCCGTTAGGGTTTTGACGAAAATTTGCATACCACCACGGAGCCTGAGAACCAAGTGGAGGGTGGATTCCTTCTGGATATTGTAATCGGCCAACGTACGGCCATCTTCTAGCTGCTTTCCGGCGAAAATAAGCCTCTGCTGATCCGGAGGAATGCCTTCCTTGTCCTGGATTTTGGCCTTAACGTTGTCGATGGTGTCAGAGCTTTCCACCTCGAGGGTGATAGTCTTTCCGGTGAGTGTCTTAACGAAGATCTGCATCTGTATTTCAGAAAAAAACTTAGATTAATCGACAAATTCGATCGCACAAACAAGAATCAGATCCGATCAAGAAACTAATACCAGATCTGGATAGATCTCACATATAAAACTCAATTTCTTAAAACAAATCGGATCAAATTCAAAGAATCAAGGCGTAAAAACACAGATCAGCGAAAAATACGAACCCTAATCGAAAATTAAGATGAGATCTAACGATGAAACTCAGAAATTTGTCTCCGATGAAAGATTAACAGAAATAAAAATCAAAGAACAGAGACGAAATCAAGATCGAACGAAACAAATCGAAGAAACCAGAAATTTACCTTGATCACGATAGAGAGATTTGAGAGAATGATTTAAAGATTGTTGAGAAATTGGAAACTGAATTGTGAAGAAGAAGAGCTCTTTGGGTATTAATTTATAGAAAAGAGAAGACGAGGACGACTCGGCCACGCCGGTGAAGCAATAGCCAATTAGAAATTGACACGTATGTGTAGTGACGTGTAAGCGTTGTTCACACGCAAAGTTTTTATTTGGCTAATTGCCTTATTTTTAGGCTAGGAAAAGTATTTGAGTTGATAAAAATAACGCCGTTTATTTACTAACTTGTGGCTAAAAGAAGACACGTAGACTTTTCTTTTACTATTGAATCAAATTTCTAGAGAAGTCTTCCAACTGGAAGATATCTTTCGTGATTTTACAGAAACCCGAGAGTGGTTTGATCACAAGACTCTTGTCTGTGGTTGTAAATCCAGTTTTCCCCTTGGAAAAATTGATGCCAAATATGGTGGATTTATATTGAATGGACAAGTCAAGATTGTTGCAGAGGTGAAAGTTCTTGAAGCTATTGGCAAGTCTGATGAGGAAGTCTGACAATGTTACAAAGCCATATATATACAATGTACAGAGGAAGGTTCTAGGTTGTAAATAAGGAAAAGAGATATGTAGATGATCAAGGAATGATTTCTCTATATCCGCAGTCATATAGTGTGTTTGAGGCGGGGGGGTGCTCAGACCATTTGCGATGCCGCATAAATTTAAATCTTGAAGCAGGAACAGTGGTTAAAGGGAAAAAGCCGTTCAAGTTTTTTTTTTTTTTTTTTTTTTTTGGTAAAAATCCGTTCAAGTTTGTTAACGCTTTAACAGATTCTGAGGCTTTTAAACCGATGGTAGCTGACTACTCGAGTAAAACAGAACCTATCTATCTCTCTACATCTTCCTTATTTCGATTTACAAAGAAACTCAAGGGTCTCAAACATGGAATAAGAAATCTGGCAAAGGAGAGACTGGGTAACAAAAACACCAAAATGTTTTCGGAACTTTTCTGTATGGCAATTTTTGGAATTTTTTAAAATTGTAAATATCCTTTTCTGTATGGATCAAAACACTAATAGAAGGTTTTTTCTTTTGCAAATATCCTTTTCATTTACCAAACACGATTATCTCCTCTGCAAATAATTTTGGGATTACTAGGAAAATTGATCATAAAGACAATTTTCTATCTCGTCACACAACACATTTTGATCGGGCACAAAACTAAAAAAATACACACACACACTTTTTGGTCTTGGTAGTCTTTTAAGTTTTAAGCCGAGTCTACTCCTCCTTTTTGCTGTGCAAGATATCTCTCTCGGCGTTGCTTCTGGTAAATAGTACAGAAGATAAACACATTAAACATCATTATCACACTTTCTTTGTGATCTTATAAAACAAAAAAAAAAAAAAAAGACGAGTAAGGACATGAAAAGAATGGCATTGCGTCTCACCCATTCATCGATCACAAGCCCTTCTCCAATTGGCTTTGGACCAACAACACCCTCTGATGCTTTCTTCCGTGCTTCATCTGCAGCATCCGCTTCAGCCAATTGACTCTTCAATTTCTCCATCATCTGTAGACAGAGAGATAACAAGTTTAAAGATCAGTGATATCTAGAATTGTTTAAGCCGTAAAATGATCCCAGTTAAGCTCACAAATGATGGCGATAAGAACCAGAAAAAGAAGAAGAAGACAGACTCACGGGGTTAGGGTTTTCGGGATCTAAGAATACCACACGCATTACTTGCTCCTCAGAGACATGATCTTTTTGCTCCTCAAACTGCAAAACACAAGAGCATCCACACTTCTTAGAATCCAAGAACAAAAGTCTTATATATTATCTTATCTTCTCTTTTCTTTTCTGACCAGTAGTTACTACAAGTTTCACATACCAGCTCAGGCATATAGTCTGTTGGGACTTTCATCTTCAGGCTCATGATTTTAAACTTAACCCCGCTCTTTTGTTCCATCGGCTTTTCATTATTCTCAGGAGGCTCAACAAACTTAAAAACTAAAAAATTCAACAAGACAGAGAAACAAACAGTCACCACATAATCCTCGAGGCCAATGCTCAAAAATACCCTAATCAAACAGTATAAAGAAACAAATATACAAGAGAAGCAAATACCGGTTGCGATAATTTCTTCCCCAGGAGCAAGAATAGCACCAGCCGGGCGCATGAAGCAACTCTTTGGTTCTGTTGTTTGAAACTGAATAAACCGAGAAGATAATCAGCAGAGATAAACACCAATGACAACAATAACCATAATCAAATCGTTGAATCCAGTACAAACCTTAAACGCTACATGTGACTTGCTCGTATTCTTAATCTTAATGGCACTCCTGACTTGCTTCCCAGGCTCATCTGCAAACAAAGCTAATTCATTACAATCTCATCCCAATAAAGAGTGAATCTTCAAAATTGACAACACTCTACAATTTGGTCCACATTTTATTCCAAAGAAAA